ATTTTTAAGGTGATAATGTGATAAAAATCCATTAATGTTCTTCAACCATTACCAATCCCCAAAGTAAAAATGAACACATTTATTCTCAGGAACAATCATCTTTAAAAGATATTTAAATTTTAATGGTAAAAACCATTAGTCTGATAAGAAATCACATTATTATTCAAGTTTTAGTTTCTTCTGGGATTATGAAGTAAAGCCTCTGTGTTTTTGTGTGTGTGTCTGTGTGGCTGGGTGGTGGGGGAGTGGCTTCTACTTCAGTCTGTTTGTATTCCTATTTGAGACCTTTTAGAAAATATACTACAGCTACTACTACTACTTCCAATATTATTAGTATAATTTATTAAGTGCTTATCACATGTCACCCCAAAAAAACAAATTATCCAGTTAAGAAATGGGCAGAAGACATGAATAGACATTTTTCCAAAGAAGATAGATGGCCAACAGACACATGAAAAGATGCTCAACATCACTCATCATCAGGGAAATACAAATCAAAACCACAATGAGATACCACCTCACACAGGTCAGAATGGCTAAAATCAGCACCACAGGAAACAGCAGATGTTGGCAAGGATGCAGAGAAAGGGGAACCTTCTTATACCGATGGTGGGAATACAAACTGGTGCAGCCACTCTGGAAAACATCATGGAGGTTCCTCAAAAAGTTAAAAATAGAACTACCCTATGATCCAGCAATTGCACTACTAGGTATTTACCCAAAAGATAAAAAAAATACTGATTCCCAAGGGACACATGCACTGTGATGTTTATAGCAGCATCATCAATAACAGCTAAATTATGGAAAGAGCCCAAATGTTGATGGACTGATGAATGGATAAAGAAGATGTGGTCTATATACACAATGGAATATTACTCAGACATCAAAAAGAATGAAATCTTGCCATTTGCAACAACATGGATAGCGCCAGAGTGTATTATGCTAAGTGAAACAAGTCAGTCAGAGAAAGACAAATATCATATAATTTCACTCATGTGTAGAATTTAAGAAACAAAACAGACCAAAAAAAAAAAAAAGAGAGAGGCAAACCAGGAAACAGAGTTAACGACAGAGAACAAACTGAGGGTTGCTGGAGGGGTGGTGGCTGGGGGGATGGGTTAAATGGGTGATGGGAATTAAGGAGGGCACTTGTTGGGATGAGCACTGGGTGTTATATGTAAGTGATGAATCATTAAATTCTATTCCTGAAACCAATATTACACAGTATGTTAACTAAGTAGATTTTAAATAAAAATTTGAAACAAAAATAAGCAAAAAGAGCTTATCACATGTCAAGTTCACAGTACACCTTAAATTCTATCGTAAGGTATGTTCTATTATTACACCTATTTTGTAGATGAAACTGAACCATAGAGAGGTTAAGAAACTTCCTTAAGGCTACTTAGCTAGTAGGTGGCAGAGTTGGGATCTAAACCATGGTCATTTAGCTCTAGGATCAACAGTCAATCACCACACAATATACCTTCTGTAAATACCAGCTACTCTGAGTGCAAGGACAACATAAGATGATGAGTGTCAAAGTCACTTAAGACATCTGAGGATGCATATGTACTCTAAAATAATGACTACAAATCACAGATTCTGAAGTGATTTTCAGAATTATAGGAAAAATAAACAATAGGCAAAAAAGTAAGATTAGTTTTTAAAAATGTTTCTCAGTATGTGTATACAGAAAGTCAGGTATATAGGGTTGGGGACAACTGCAAAAGTGTGTTTTAGGGAGCAGATTCTGGAGCTGGGAGTTTTAGCCTTGGTTCCATCATTTAGTCTAATTAATAGCTTAACATCAGAAAAATTACTTCAATCCTCTAGATATGATACTTTCTCTGATCTTCCGCATAGGGTTGAGAATGAATGAGAACACAGAAAAGAAGGCAATCACCAACTAAAAGCATTATGCTAAACATAGCCCTGCTCTAACTGGTTGAGAGGAGATGGTGGTTTGCAAGTGTCTCCACCACACGCACGTCCTCACAGGCAGTGAGCTGACGTTTCAGCTCTCTACCCCTTTCCTCTCTGTGCCCCCAGCTACTCTGTGCAAAGAGCCTGGGCTCTTCTTCTCACCTCCATCTAACAGGGCTTCAGTCATTCTTTTCTTCTGTCATTTCAACTAATTCCCAAGGTGAAGAACTCACAATTCTTTATGCCATGAATTGCAGTTCTGAAATTGATCAAGTTGTGATTTTGTATAAAATTATGCCAAAAGTCATAATGTGGTAGAAGACAAAAGGATGACTCACTAAAAGCAGATTTTTACTGGTTTATTGTCGATAAGTAATATCGACAATATTGTGTAACCTACTCGTTGTTATTTTAATTCTCCAAATCAATTTCCAGTTATTGGGAATTGCAAGTTTGGATATTCTAAATTAGATGTCACATCTGTATCTACACCAGACAAGCACTTTACATTTGGAATGACAGGGTACATAGACAATCTCTGTTTCATATAGATAAACCAGTCGTTCATGAGTATTTTAGTTAACACAGGAAATGTTATTCTGGAGGTAACTGAGTTCAGCCTTTCTGTATGAAAATTTAGGTCTCAATCTATGGTTACTATAGAGGCAGTCCACAGGCCTCCTCTCTTCTTACGAGTTGCAGCTCAAAGCCTAGGTAGCAAAGAGTCCCTAGTGCAGCATGAAGTATTATCTCCGAGAGTGGGTATCAGGGAACTGGACATCAGCATCCCCCAACATCAGAAGCACCTCCTTAGAGAAAGTTGAAGGTATGTGGGAGCCAGGGAAGGATGGCCATATTGTTAGATATACAGTCTGCAAATCTCTCCCACTTTAAAAAGAATTTTTAACTAATTTAAAAGGCAGATTTATGAAAGGTACAGCATAGGGAATATAGTCAATGATACTACTATAGCGTCGTACGGTGATAGACGGGAGCTACACTTGTGGTGAGCAGAGCGTGATATATAGGGAGGTTGAATCACTATGCTGTATGCCTGAAACTAATGTGTGTCAATGATACTTCAATAAAAAAAAGGGGCAGATTCATGTATTATAATGTATACCATGAAACTGTATCTCCCTGATCATATTAATCATGATATAAAAGAGAGTAGGCACATTCAGTCCTGCAGGCTGGGCAAATTAGTATAGCTCTAGGTAATGAAGCAGACCTGTCAAGGTGGGTCCTTTCTGAGGAGTGATAAAAATGTGGGTGCCCCTCTCTGATGATTTTTTTTACCATGTGCTGTGTTCTGGTAGTGGCTAAGTGAACATTCTGGGTCATGGTTTATTTGTTCTATTTTTCCAGATCTATTTAAATTAAGCATTTAAAAATTTTATCATTAACTTAAAAAATCATATTGGTTATATGTTTATTAGATAAAAATTAGCTTAAATTGTATCTGAACTTTAGTTTCAAGGGCATTTTCTGACCATATACCACAATCTTGGAATATCAAAGCAAGCTTACATGAATAACAGAGTACCAGTTAGACATGAGGGCGTGAATACACATACACGCACATATAAACAACGTCTTCGACCAAGATGGTGAAGTGATCTGTCCAGTGTAGTTAAGTATAAAAAACATGGAAATATGAAGGAGCCACCACCTCCTTTTGAGGAAATATCAAAGACTTTATAATTGGGAGATTTTCCCCTTATATTAGATACATGTTCCTTTATGTAATTTTATCTATTATTTTAGTTACCATTTTAGGGTCTTTCTCAAAAATCCAGCTTCCCCTTGCTACTCTTTAATTACTTCTAGATTATTATCAACACTGCCTCCTTTTCCTTCCCTCTCCACTCCATTGCCTCAACCATTTAGTCATTAGTTGGCTCTTAAATATGGACTTGATATATTTAATCCTTTGCTAGAAGACGGTTCTTTCAATTTCGGTTTTTAAATTCTTCCAATCATCTCCTATTTTTCTAAATTTCATCTTTCTTTTGGCTCATCACTAAAAGTAGTCTCACCTATCATGCAGAAAAAAATAAAACAAGAGATTCTTGATTTCATTCTGCCTTTTCAATTGTAATAATCTAAAAACAGTTATGCAGAAGGATATATTGTTTTCATCAGCGGTATTGAAATCATGTTCTCACAATATAGAAGATAGATTTTAAATACTAAACAAAAGTGAGAATAATAGTTATCATTACAAAAAGCTTCTGGAGACATATATAAAAAGCTCCTGATACATGCTTGCTGTCACAGTGAGAATCCATACAATTAACTGCTGAAAATAAAGAATGGAAAGAAAGCATTCCCTTTAACTAAAAAACAGGAAAAAAAAACAGATGATCTAATGAAGAAGAAATCATGATTTCTATCAAGAGATCACAGTAAAATCCACTCTCAGGAGAAAACACATACTTTTTGCACTGATATATGTATATATGTGTGATGTTATACGTATCTACTCTGCTTTAGTATAGTAAAGCACAAGTTAATATGAAGAAACCAAACAGTAAATCCTGCTGTTCCTCAGTCTTAAATCCAACCTCACTTTCTGAAAATCAAACCAATGCCTCATAAACAGAGAAAGACTTGGAGAAAGTTCTATTAACATGAATGAAGATTTTTTAAAAAGGGCCACAAGATGAGCACTTAATTAAAACACACACTTTCTTTAGGCTGTTGAAATATAAAGTCTTTAATTCTCCATTAAAAAAAAAAACAACAAACCCTGATTATAAGCTTTAAAACCATTTGAAGATGTGAAAGACTATCTGCATTTCAGCCTACTTCAAAGCCGGTAAAGAAATCATTTCTTCTTCTTCCAACTCAGAGTATGTTTAGGAGCAGGACATCTGATAGAAGTGGTATTGCCAATCTAACCAATTTTAAAATATAAAGTGCTTCTAGCAATATTTGGAGACATATAATTTGACAAAAAAGTTTTATAAACCTAAGCTTTGAAAAATAGAAAATATAAACCCCAGCAAAAAAAAAAGCATCATTGGTAATTGAAAGAAAATAATATTTTGTAGAAAAAAAATCATCCTTCCAAAAAGAGACAAAAATGACTAACTTTTATTTCCCAAGGGAATTATGCCACTTTTATACAACAAAATTACAGTCACCACAAATTGCTTTCAACAATTCCACTGCTTCTTCATTTGACCACTTGAAAATCAAAATTCTTTCAGATTATAAATATAACTTTTTATAACTCTGTTATTACGTACTGTGAATGGGGAAAGGGGGCCAATCTTGTGGCCGTAGCGTCGAACGGCCTCTCTGATGTGGCAGGGCTGGATGGCATCGCTGTGAGCCTCAACACCACAGGCCGCAGTGCTCTGCGACAGAAAAACACATAAATTGTTACTAAATCAAAAACACACAACAGAACTACAGTGTATAAAATATGAAAATAAACTTTTATAAAATGGATGTTCCCCCCCCTTTAGGATGCACGTCCCTGCTGCCCTACATGACATTTAAAAAAAGACTCCGTTAACAAATCAAGGATGACTTTTCCGTGACCCCTTTCTAGCAGACCTACCAAATGCAATTTTTATGCCCACAATATTTCACCTAGGCCTGCACGTCAAGGTACAAGAGAATACAGCCACCCGTGTGCAGATGAGAAGTGTCGTGGGGGATTGCAGACAGAACCACAGGAAGCTTTGTTTTTAAAAAAACACTTAAACATTTATTATTATAAATGTTTCTTGGGAGCTTGTTGAGCATATTTCTGAAATAACTGGAGGGTCATCAATTTCAAAATGAAAAATATAAAATTGCTATATTTTTATCTATACTACCGGAGCTGTCACAGATGATCATTTTAACGTGGTTCCCAATTTTCTAGGTGTCCTCAGGGCAAAAAGAAAATAAAACAAAACCTTTCTATTTTAATCTGCCTCATGTAAAAGGCAGGTTCGAAAGTACAAAAAGACACAAGAAAGATAAAGACTATTTGTAAAGAGTATGGATACCAGCTTAAGAAAGGTGTGTAACATGATTTAAAAAAAAAATCAAAATGTTCAATAGGAACAAGATAGTCTCGTGGTTCATTTGCAGGCTCTGGTTTCCCAAATACCTGACCTAGATCCTATCAGTTACCAGTCCTGTCAAGTTATGTAATATCTCTGCACTTTGGTTTCCTTATCTGTAAAATTGGGGTAATAATTATAATTGCTTTCTACTGCAGTGGATACCAGATGCCAGTCATTAGCATTAAAGAATCAAGAGAAAGAAACAGTAGTTTGTGTATTACTATTAACTGTATTCTAGAAGTCAGTCATAGTCACATAAGGATTATTTGTTTTTCTGATAATTACTACAATTACCACTTTCATAATTCCTTGTAGGAATATAACTAGTATGACCTCTATGAATAGTAATTTGGCAAAATCTTATTAGATGAAAATGCACAACCATTTTGAACCCAATTTCATATCTAAGAATTTATTCTACAGATATATGAAACAGGTACAAAATTTTATATACCTATATGTCTATATCTATCATATGCGTGTGCGCACACACACACACAAACACACACACACACACATATACACACTCACTGCAGAACTATTAGGATTGATGAGCTAAATGTTCATCAGTGAGGGAACACTGCGATAAATTATGATACATCCATGTAATGAAACAGAAACTACAGCAATCACCAAAAAGAACAAGGGAGTTCCATACATACTCCTATGGAACTATCTCTTAAGATGTACTGTGTGAAAAAATGCAAGGTGTCCACCTGGGTGGTACTATGTTACCATTTATTTTTTAAAAAGCCTGAACATTATATACTCATTCAAGCATAGACTATTTTTTTGCAAGGGTATACCAAAAATCAGTAATAGTCCTTATCTCTGTGAGGCTAAATGGGTGTCTAAAGGACTGGGATTAGAAGAGACATTTTTCACTGCATATCCTTTTGTACTTTTCAAATGTATTTTCCATGCCTTGTGCATACTTTTCCTATAACTAGTAAAAAAAAATTTAAAAATTCCCATTAAATGAAAGCATCAGTTAATTATCCAAGCTGAACCTGAAATAAGATGTAAAATATAAAACAAAGCAGATCTTGATTATTTTTATTATTTTAACAAGATATGAAATAAGCCAAATAGGAACTTACTCTAGAATATCTTTCTCAATTTCATTCCACAATACCCTAAATAACAGTGTGCTATGCCCACAACAACACAAATTGTTATCTTAACCCTTCACTTGGCACTCATATAAAAGTATACAGGATTTTTTTTTTTTTTTTGAGTGCTTTCTCGGTTCTTATTCCAAATACTTTGTGTCAGTTGGAAATGAATTACCAGGTACCTGATAAGGGTAAAGGCTCTTCTCTGAGTCCGTTTGGCCCCAAAAGATGAATATGACTAATAGAGACTCATTAATGGTTGAGGCATTCTATCCACTTGTGGAAATGAACACAAATATTTAGCTGGATCTAGAGTTAAGTTTTCCAGTGGAAACTCAAGTGGAAATACAAAAGAGAGACGTCAAGAGGGTCAATATCCTGCATATTACATTGGGTGGAAAGTTCCTCTATGGCGTTTCCTCTCTCCCTGCAACTTGGGTTTGTTTTTCATTTCTTTCCTCCATGGTCAATGTAAGATTCTACTCTTCTTCACTTTCCCAAATAAATTTGGTTTTTGTCAAAACCATAGAACATTTGGTCAAAATCTCTCAGAACCTCTGGCATGGCAATCAAATAGGATTTCAGAACACTGAAGGAAGCATAAGCTAGAAACTTATGGTGGAATCGTGATCTTTGCCAAAAAGACGAAGTTAACTTATATGGAAATACTCAATTTTGTGAAAAATGTTATTAGATTTTCTATTTTGCTAACTTCTGGTTTATGTGCTAGAATTAAGCAACTGCGAACAGCATGCAGTTACCATATGCATGTCTACACTTTCTTGACTTGCCCACTGAGTTCTTTGGAAGGGAACCCTTAAATCTGAAATGATGTATTTCCAGTGTTGCTGCCACCTCAACCAATCTCTTCACACTTCTGTCAACATTCAGGCCTTCACCAAGGTACTTTTAAGCCATTCAAACTGAAAATTCATACCAAGTTGAGAATTTTTAATTTAGCAGTGACTCTAGCATTTTAAACAGAAGTTTCAATATAGCTTCCTTGGACCACAGCTGAGAGTTCAAACTGCTGAGAGATTTTATTCAGTGTAAGTCAGCAAGGATAAGCAGAGGCATGGTGCTCAAATCTAGAAATATGGAGGATTCCATAAGATATTTCACCTTCCAGAACCCAGCACCAGCTTTTGGATGAAGAGACATGAGTAAAGATGAACATAAGAACATCAAAGAACACCAGATTGGTGTTAAAGGACCTAACATCTGAGGAAGAACTTTACAAGGCAGCCTGTACTTCACTCACGGAAATAGTCTATTTCGGCAGAGATTTCAGCACTCTTTGGACAACAGGACTCAGTATTTTGTCAAATATGTAGGTTTCATTTTTGAAAATTTAAAAATAAAGAGTATCCTAAAGTACAGGCACACTCAGAATGGGAAAGATGGTAAATAAAACTGTGGTCCGGGGAAGCTATACTGAAACTTCTGTCGCTGCTGAATCTCTTACAAATGTTCGTACCTGTCTGGACTTTTTTTTTTAAAAATTGTTGGCAAGTTAAATTGTCCTATCCTTTCTCAGCCTTTCTCTTGCCAGTGAAATCCAAATTTAAGAAGGACCTGGAATATTGGATAATTGCCACTTATTCTTTCCACGTAATGGTGGACTAGATCTTTTGTTAAACTCGAAACATTCATTCTTACAGAGTAACACATACCTCAGATTAGAGCAAATGAAAGGCTAGTACTACTATTACTAATACTTTTATTACTCACTGACCACAAAGGTTGATACATAATCTGACTGGCAAGGCAAGTGTCTTCCTTCTACTTACTGCTGTACACATTGCTTTCCCAGAGTTTCCTTTTTTATGGAGAATGTCTTTTCAGATGAAGGTGGGCCATTCTTTGGCCAAAGGTTACACTATACAGTATAGTTAATTTTAGCAGTTAATTTTCTCATTTCAAAGTTTAACTGAGATGTTAATTGTTACAACTGTAGTTCTATATAACTAGGAAACTCTGTAACTCTTTTCTTTAAGGAAATTAAAACTAGAAAAAGTACTTCAGGTGAAGACAAGAGAATCACTAAATTTAAGGATTCATACATTATTAAATCTGGAAAGAATGCAAGATTTCTAAACTGTTCCAACCCTATCCCATGAGAAAATGAAGACAAAGGACTTGCCCAAGATTACAGTGACAATATTGGAATATGGCTATACATTAGATCTCTTGGCTTCTAGGACACATAGTTGATATACAGAGCCTTTATTATTTTATGTAGAATGAATTGTACTGTGTTACCACCATAGTGGAAGTTTCCAGGGAGTAAATAAAAACACAGCAAGAGTCTATAGAAAGATGTGGATGAATAAATAAAGAAATAATAGCTTTAAAGTGGGATGTTATTCTGATGTCACTGATTTTGAATTTACAAAAATTCAGATATGAACTAAGCTAATACTTACTTAGAAAATCTTTGCTATAAAACAACTTTAATGTAACAGTGTTCAACAAGATTAGGAGAGAAATGTTTAAATATTTAAGAGGAAAAATAAGTCTTTATATGTCTTTGAGAATCCTTGAAATTTTTATGTATGTATGCATAATTGTATCAGGTTAATTACATACTTAGTAAGCAAGTCCACTGAAGAGGTCTTTTAGGTAACACTTTGTTACCCTAGTTTTACTTACTGAGTGAGCTGGAGCACTATAGCTAAAATTCTTTAAAACTACTTTACAGTACAGAAGTTCCTTATAGTTCAAAATTCCCCTTAATAAATAAACACTGAGCTCTGTTGTTTTGTAAATGGAAGAAGAAACCAGATATGAGGCTAAAACTTAAATTTGCTTACTATCATTATAAAATTATATCTTGGCATGGCTCCGCTACTTGTCATGGCAAATGGTTCTTATTGTAGCAACTGAGTTTTAGATAATAGTATCACTTTAGACAAATTATTAAAAAACAAGAACATGAAAGTGATAGAGATTGATCAAAACCACGCAGAAACTGGAAAGGGGAATGCCTATATTTAGAAGAGAATGGCGGTGGCTTGAGTTTCCTGTTTTTACTCTTTTAGCAGAAGGGCAGGCCCCAGTCAGGATAGGGGGCACATGACCTTAGAGACTCTAAGAAATATAGGGCAGAGTTCAGGGCACCCACAGTAGGTATAAAGTGAGGAAGGAAATACCGAGAAAGGACAAAATCAAAGAAGGAGAGCCCCAATTCACCATACAAACTTTACCCAAATCTATTTCTCTGTGGTACTGAATCCAAGAAACCCAGTTAAAGCTAAATGAACTGAGGGCGCCTGGGTGGCTCAGATGGTTAAGCGTCTGCCTTCGGCTCAGGTCATGATCCCAGGGTCCTGGGATCGAGTCCTGCATTGGGCTCCTTGCTCCTTGGGAGCCTGCTTCTCCCTCTGCTTCTCTCTCTCTCTCTCTCTCCCCCTCTGTCTCTCATGAATAAATAAATAAAATCTTAAAAAAAAAAAGCTAAATGAACTGAGGAGAGATTCTAAGCTGCTGTCAATGAAGAGGAGTTTGGGTTTGATGTTTAGAGCTTAGTGCAGAATAGTAAACTGTCTGCTTAACACACATGCCCACATCCCAACCACTATTAACACCAACAGTTCTTCATAGGACTATAACAGAACACAAAATCTCTACCATATATTACCCGTGATGTCCAAGATATAATTCAAAATTACTAGACATGCAACAATATAAAAAATTGACTGGGAAGAACTAACTGAGAGAGGAGGCATTATTTTGGTCTCCACTGAGCCTAACGAAGTCTCAAAGAAAGCATGACTTATACTCAATGGAGACTAAAATAATCCAGATATTAACTGATCAAAGAAGGATTTTAAAGTAGCTATTATAACTATGCTCAAGAAGATCAAAGAAAATAAACCTGTAATAAGTGACAAATAAAAAAACCAGACAAACAAAAACTAAAAAGAAACCAAATGGAAATTATAAAACTATAAAATAAAATATAACAAAGAAAAAATTATTGGATGGGTGTAACAGATTGGAACTGACAGAGGAGTCTGGAACATGAAGAAATATCAATAGAATTTATCCATCCTGAAGAACAGAGAGAAAAGATTGAAAGAGAAATTAAATAAGTACCTGTGGAACAACATCAAAGTAACTAACAAATATGCCTTGGAGTCTTTGAAGTGGAGGAGAGACAGTGAATGAAGCAGAAAAAATATCTGAGGAAGTAATTGCTGAAAATTTCCCCCAAAAGACATAAACCAATATTTAAGAACCTCAATGAACCCTAAGCAGGACAAATACAAAGAAAGCCATGTCTGTGGACAGCATGGTCAAACTGCTGAAAACCAAAAATAAAGATAAAATCCTGAAAACATCCAGAGAAAAATAACACATTACAAACACAGAAACAGTAATACAAACTCCTGACATATGATTAAAACAATGGATGCCAGAAAACAGGGGAGTGATATCATTAAAGTACTGAAATAAAACTACTAACTCAGAATTCTATATCCAGTGAACATATCTTCTTAAAATAAAAGAAAGGATATTTTCAGAAATATGAAAACTAGGAGAAACCATCACCAGCCAACCTGCACTGTAACAAATGCTAAAACAAAATTTAGTAGAGCAAAATAGGAAAGTAATACCAGAAGGAAGTCTGAGCATAAAAAAGAGAGAGACACAGAAAGAGAAAGAGAGAGAGAGAGAGAAATGAACAACAGTGGGGATAGTAAATGTTAGTTTATTTTTTTCTCTTTGTTTCATTGAGATACATTTGCTTGTTTAAGGCATAAGTAGTATTATGGTTTATAACATGTGAAGATATAAGATGTATAACAACTAGAGCATAAAGGAAGGGTAAGAGTAAAGTACACCAGTCTTATAAGAGTCTCACATTTTATGTAAGTAGTGCAATAACTCCAAGTACGCTGAAAATTTAAGGATATATTGTAATCCTTAGCATAACCACTGAAAAAATGATGCAAAGAGGTATCACTAAGAAATGAGTAGATGAATTAAAATGAATTTCTTAAAGAGTACACAACCCAAAATAAGACAAGAAAAACTGAGAATCAAAAATAGAACAAGCAGAAAACAAATAGCAAAATAGTTGAACTATATCTAACCATGTCAATAAATACACTAAATTTCAAGGAAATGCAAACTCAAAGTATAACGAGTCACTGTTGAATATCCATTAGAATGGTTAAAAATAAAAACAATAACAGCAAGAGCTGATGAACATGTGAAGCAACTGGAACTCTCACATACTGCAGGTGGAAGTATAAAATGATACAAACATTTTTTGGGGGGAAAAAAAGTCTTGGAGTTTCTTTTTTTTATTTATTTTTTATTTTTTTATTTTTTAAGATTTTATTTATTTATTAGAGAGAGAATGAGAGATAGAGAGCATGAGAGGGAAGAGGGTCGGAGGGAGAAGCAGACTCCCTGCTGAGCAGGGAGCCCGATGTGGGACTCGATCCCGGGACTCCAGGATCATGACCTGAGCCGAAGGCAGTCGCTTAACCAACTGAGCCACCCAGGCACCCAGTCTTGGAGTTTCTTTAAAAGCTAAACACATATATATTCTGTGACTCAGTAATTTCATTCCTAGCTATTTACCTAAGAGAAATGAAGGCATTTGCCCATGAAGACTTGTATAATAATGCTCACAACAGGTTTACTCATAATACCTCAAAAACTGGAAACAGCCTAGGTGTCCACAAAATGAGAATAAATACATTGATATATTCATACAACAGCACATTACTTAGTAGTAAAGAGGAATAAATTACACTTATACTGAAAAACAAATTTCAAAAACATCCTGAGTGAAAGAAATTTCACTCAAAAGAGCATATGTACTACATTTTCTTTATATGATTTCCAGGACAGAAAAAAACTAATCTATGATGAAAAAATCAGGACAATGATTGCCTCTCTGTGGTGGCAGGAAATGACTGGGAAGAGGCGTGCAGGAACTTTCTGAACTGATGATAATGTTTTATATCTTGAGAAGTGTTTAGAAAACATCAGGTTTATACCTCTGTCAATACACATCAAATGGTATATTTAACAACTGAATGGTTTACTGTGTATAAATTTTAGCTTAAAAAAAAGAACCATAAACAAATTATACATAATGAAGTATTAAGCCAAGAAGTGTACTAATATCTGTAGCTTACTTTGCAATGCAGCAAAAAAAAAAAAGATGGACTGACAGATGGACAAAAGAATAATTAGATGCATTGATATAATAAATGTAAATACATAAGTATGTAGATAATACAGCAAACATAGTATAATGTCATTGTAGAATCTAGATGGCAGATGCATGGTGTTAAGTCTATAATTCTCTTAATATTTTTGTATGTTTGAAAATTTTTATAATAAAATGTTAGAAAAAAATCAGTATCTTGCTTTATCCAGAAGAAAGCTATTAAAAAAGTGTGAGTAGAAGTCATTAAGTATGGTTAAGCATAAATTGGCTGTTTCTAAAAATTTGAATTATGAGAAAAACAGAGCACGTTTTCCATATCTCTGAAGCAAACTCAACAACTTTATCCACTCTGCACCAGAAAAAAGAAAAAAAACAAACAAACAAACAGAAAAACCTTATCACTGACCTTTTTTCTTTTCCTTTGCTTGGTTTTAGCTGAGTCTTGTCCAGCACTCCCATTCCCTAGGGATCCTGATGTGGTTTTCCCTGAGTGCTGTGATCCAGATGATGGAGCAGTCGGTGTAGGAGGAGGTGTGTTCTCAGGGGACTCTGGGTAGGACTTCATGCAAGACCCCTGCCCAAAGAGATGTGCCTTTGAAATCAAGTGACCAGGACTTCTAACATTCATTTGTGTTTAATATCTCCTGAATTCAATACTTCTTGAAGCTTACAAATATCAAAACACGATTTATTATCCAGTTCACAGAAATGATGACTCATTTGTCCCTATTGGTCTAAATATGTTAATTTTTAATCTGTCTAGCCATTTAGATAAAATCAGGATTTCTCAAGACGCAGCCTCCAAAATTTCTGCTGATTTTGCCAGATACAGAGATTTCTACTTGCAAGTTTTGTTAGCATGTCAGACTTACATGTCCCAAAAGGCACCTCTGAATCCACCCCCCGCAAACTGGATGGTACAGACAGTATTTGTTATCAGTATGACCAGCCTTCTACCAGTGACTCCAACTCAGTGTCCGAGGGTCACTGTGGATATTTCCAGCTCCTTTTATTTCTAGTTCCTTCCTTCTTTCATAATATCCCTCATTTCGACCTGGTTTCTTTGGCTACGACTGCAAGTCTGTTTTCTTTCATGTGGATGCACTTCAAATATTTGAGGACTATTACCTTTCTCAGCTTCTTTTCTTTTATAGGTCAAACTGCCTCAAATTCCTTCAACCATTTATTATGAGACAGGTTTTCAGGTTCCTTCACTCTCTCACTACTCTCCTTTAGACATTCTCTACTGTGTCAAGGTCCATCCTCTAGGATGGTACCTCAAGACTAAACGAGACAAAAAAAGTTTTCTTATCAGTGACATCACAATATTGGCTCCTAAGGAATTTACAGGCCAATAAAAGTCTGTAAGTCTTTTTCATATATGGTATTATTAATCTACATCTTCCTTATCCTACCAACTATACTACACCATACTACCTGCTGGCCTACACTTCTCTATAGTGTATTTGTATTTAAAAAACTATGCTAAATTTTGTAAAGTGTTTGGCTGAAATGCACATATTGGTTTCAAAAGTATATCTGTCTATTGTTCTGAGAACTGTATTATTTATTTAAAGTTAAAAATGAGCAAGTTTAAAGGGAAGCTAGTAAAGAATATACTGGAACTCCGTATTATCTTTGCAATGGCTCTGTAAATCTAAAAATTATTTTAAAATAAAAAGATTTTTAAAGAAAAAAAAAAGTATTTCTTTGATTTGCCTGCCTAGGAACCTTATCAAACAAGAAGGAATAAGCCTAATTTGGCATGAGTTATTTTTAGAAAAAACAAGACAATTCCTAGAGATCACTGCTTCCTGTGCATAAACCATATATTAGAAAAAAAATTTTAAAAATTAACTTCTATTGGGGTGCCTTGGTGGCATAGTCGGTTAAGTATCCAGCTCTTGGTTTTGGCTCAGACACCTGGGATCGAGGCCCGCGTTGGGCTCCATGCCTAGTGTGGAGTCTGCTTGGGATTCTCTCTTTCCCTTTCCCCCCACCCCCCCGCACCACGTGCTCTCACTCTCTCTCTCAAATAAATAAATAAATCTTTAACAAAAATTAACTTCAATTAATATTACACCTGCCAATCTGAGAACCCAAGCTTAACTAGCTTGGTTCCTCATATGTTTAACACTCAAAAATGATAGTCATTAAAAGAGAATGTATTGTGTATTAACATCATGCCTTGAGAGCTTCTGATTCCAATCCATTGTACATAGCACCTCCCTTTGGATCTTCTAAAACACCCATTTGAACTCCTCACCTTTAGCAGCCACGAAACCTTCAACTCTTCCTTAACTCTAAGAGCCTAAGGCTCAATTTTCTAATCTGACTTCCTCCTTCTGCTCCTCAATGAATCCTTTGCTTGAATATTTTAATCAGAGTTTTGTTTCTCCCTTGTACAGTTATGCCTATGCTGCCTCTGAGGCCTAGAGCATTCTCCCCACTTTTACTGTCTCATCAAAGTCCCATCTTCCCTCAATGCCAGTGTCCTCTCTCAAGGTCTTTGCAGTCGGGGCTTGTTTTTACCTCTGCTCTTCCGGTCTATGCCACTCATTTGGAAATTAGCATATATGCTATCTTGAATTGTCTTTTTTGTTTGTTCTTTATTTCCTTGTTTGTTTTACAGAATGTCCTATCTCCCTGAATACAGATCATACCAGTCTTCAGAGTCCCCTTTTGTACCCAATTTGGTAAAGCCCTCAAAGCAGGCCCTTGACGTTGGTTGCTGGTTTGTAACGTTGATGAGTAAGATTCCTACTCTAGAGTGGCTATTCTCTGTGTTTCATCAGGTAATAAAGGGCAGGAAGATTCCCAGTCTCTCTGAATGTTCATTTTGACCGCTAGTTACAGGAGGAGGGGTGTCTGGAAGGCCAGGGAAACGCTTGAGGCTTTGCTAACATATTTAGGCGGGATGCTTTCCGACACTCCTGCTCCCGCCTCCCAGAGAGCCCGGGGAACCCAGCACACACAGGCCATTTTTCTTAACTGCTGGGTAGCTGGGAGCAGCAGCTGTGGTTGCTGAGCAGTTGCCCAGGGCAGCTTGGCCACCCTGGAGAACCAAGAGAGAAGGGAAATAAAGAGTTTTCCTAGCCATGCAAGCAATCCCTTGAATGTTAAGGGAAAACTAGGCTTGTTATGTTCACTGTAAATTTCTTCAATTAGAAATGTTACAACAAATTTGTCTGATGTTAATGAAAAGCATACTTATACACATATTCATAAAGTGAACATGTACCAAAGATATCTTTAAAGGGTGTTCTTTGACATCGTAATTTGGGTTTGTAACATAAAGAAAACAAAGCGTTTAATCAACTGGGTAAGCTTTAGGGACTTTTAAAGTGTGATGACTGATAATGATGTATGATCTTTTCTAAGAAAAAAATGGATTTTTAACGGGCATAAACATTTTAATTTCTACTTGGATTCCAAGCCAATCTGATTCTCCAAGGGGCACAAAAAGATGTCAAAATTTTGGCTTGAAATAAAATATATTGGTTTATATCTTTATGTAGTTTCCAAGTATCCTAGAGCAGACGTACTTAAACTTGGGGTCCATCACAGATCACTTAGATCCACAGAATGATTTCAGAGGGTTTCTGAACACCCTGAAATTGTATGCGAAATTTGTGAATGTGCTATGGTGAGCACTGTGAATTGTACAAGACTGATGAATCACGGATCTGTACTTCTGAAACAAATAATGCAATATATGTTAAGAAAAAAAAGAAGAAGAAGAAGAAGATAGCAGGAGGGGAAGAATGAAGGGGAGTAAGTCGGAGGGGGAGACGAACCATTAGAGACGATGGACTCTGAAAAACAAACTGAGGGTTCTAGAGGGGAGGGGGGTGGGGGGATGGGTCAGCCTGGTGATGGGTATTAAAGAGGGCACATTCTGCGTGGAGCACTGGGTGTTATGCACAAACAATGAATCATGGAACACTGCATCAAAAACTAATGATGTAATGTATGGTGGTTAACATAACAATAAAAAAAATTATTTAAAGAGTGAAAAAAAAAAGAAATTATAGTTTTTGTCAGATTCTTGAAGGGGCTTAGACATTTTCAGGTTATACATTTCACCCAGCTTTATCCAAAGCTCACTTCATAATTACACATGGAGATGGTAAGCTAACCTCCTTGCTGCCTTCTCTCTGGTTATTAGATTGAATTACATGAAATTGCTGTATATGCCAGGAAAAAGGGTCAAATATCAGAAATGCATTCAATAGATGATACTACATTTCTAGTTTGTAAGCACATGACGCTCACAGAGAGTCTTTCTTATACTACAAATGGTACACAGTTATTGCACAATGCCTTAAAGTTGGCAAGACCACTGCATCGCCCCCCTAGGTGGAGGTCCCGGCAACATAAACTCGATCAGAAAGGATGTGATCCTCACATGATAGGGCCAGTGTGGACACGGAGAATAAATGGAGCCATGCTCCTTTAAATCGTGTTTAGAGATGGGTCAATAATTGGGAAATAAAATGATTAATAAATGTCAGGAGTTATTAGGACATGAATAATAATGATTCTCTTGTCCTTGAGGCACAAAGAAATAAAGAACCATTCTCAACATTGTTCATTTGCCCCAATCAGTTGTTCGCCTCCCAAGGAAATGAGGTGTGCTCTCCAACTATTCCTCTTTCACCGGAGGGCTAGGGAAGCTAAATAAGGTCAGAAATAGGTGAAAAGATAATTGTATTAAGTGGGTGATTAAGGCCTGCAACAGTCCGTGCTCAGTGAATGTTTGTTTGAATGTTGAGTATGTTAAGATTCCTGATTACCTGATGTAGGCTATACATTCCTACATTACCTTTTTCAAAGAACTACTAATGTAAACACCAGACACATGAAAAATCCATAGAGGTGTCAAAGACAGATTTTTTGCTACTTACCTCAGCAGAGTTGTGATACTGAATGAAGGTTGCAGAAATGGCATGGCTGAAGGGGTCTCCTGCCTTGGTTATCATGTCCTGCCTCACAAGAAGAGCCAGGTCCACTAACTAGAAGATCAGAGTAATGAAAATAAAGTCACATAGCTGGAAATAATCAGTCACCAATGTCACCGAAGTGGCAAAACTAAAAGCAATACATTCCACCTGTTATTGATAACACGGTCTGCTTAAAAATCTGTATTGTGGACGTGAGCAGATGCTTTCATTGATAAGTAGACCTACCCATGAGTATAAACAATATATTCTGACTTTCTAGGGGAGCACTTCTCAAATTTTATTTAATAATCACTAGGGAAGTATTTTAAAATACAGATTTCTGTGCTCTGGACACCAAGATTCTAATTCGGTACGTATGCTCTGGGTTACATTTTCAACAAGAAGCAAGGAGAAGCTGATGCTTGTGCTCAGAGGACCATGCTTTGAGAAGCTGTCAGAGAGCAGTGATTCTAGACTCAGGTTTTGGCAAGCACTCAGGAGACTGTACATAGCCAGAAAGATATGTTTCAAAGCTCAAAAATAATCTCTAAACAGGGCAGATGTGTACTGAGAATTCAATGTTGAGAAAAAGTATGTAGGGATTCCATCTCTGGTTAGGATTGAGTTGCAAGCAACAGTCACTTTTACCCTAACATCTGCCAGGGCTGAGGATACAAAGAAACATAACTGAACTGAATTCCAGAAAATGATAAGATTGTCATAGGATAAAACTCATGGCTGTTCTCATTCCTGATAGAGTAGCAGGTGGAGGAACTTTGGTCATGGACAGGGGTAAGAAGAAAGGGACGCCTGGGTTGGCTCAGTGGGTTAAAGCATCTGCCTTTGGTTTAGGTCATGATCCCAGGGTCCTGGGATCGAGTCCCTCATCGGGCTCCCTGCTCAGCGGGGAGCCTGCTTCTCCCTCTGCCTGCCACTCCCCCGGCTTGTGCTCTCTCTCCCCTTCTCTGATAAATAAAATCTTAAAAAAAAAAAAAGAAGAAGAAGAAGCCTGCTATGACAGATATTAGCATTCTTACCTGTGCCACTGTTTCATATGCTAAATATGCTAAAATTTCCATTGCAACAACATTGGGTTTTATCTCCATACTGCTGCAGTCCAACCAGTCTCGAAATTTGGAGGCCTTTTTGGCTAGGCATCAAAAAAAAAAACATGGAAAATTTAGTTTTTGAAGTGTTTTAATACTTGCACATTACTTTCACAAAATGAAAAATATGTCTCTTGAAAATTGCATTTGAAAAATAATGCATATAAAACACCATGTTTTTGAAGTTTTATTAGTGTCAAGATCTTCAAGCCCCAAGAAATGCCTTATGCATTTGGGTCTTTGATTTTGTACCTGTGCTACATAACATGGTATACTAAATGACTTAATATTCAGCATTTCTCACAGTGTCAGAATAAGTTACCATTGGCCATAGCTTATGTTTTAACAAAAGTCAGAGGGGTTCCTTGATGCAACTTTAACCTATTCTTGTGGAAAGGAATTCCTGCAAGAAAGAACCCGGGATGGAGAAAGAACATAAAGAAATTGTATTTGCGATACATTTCCAAATGTGTCTATTACCAGAATAGGTTCAAAGTCACATATTTAGAATACAATAGAAAAAACTTAGGCCTGCAGTTACGTTTTTCTGACTACAAAGATGTCCGAATTCCTAAGCCTGACTCTCAAAACCCTCCAAACTCATTTCAACCTGTCTTTCTATTATTGCCTCCTGAAATGCCACCTGGCCTTGAGTCTAGCCCTCTCTTTGTTCACCCCTGCTCCTTTTCCTCCATGGAATGCCATCCCACCTCTCTTCCTCCTTCACATGAATCCCGCCTGTACTGTGTAGTTCCCCACACTAGTCATTTACTGAACTCTTGTATCATCAGATATCCTTTCATGTCTGCTTCTAACTTCTCAAACCATATTAGAAACACCGTGCATCATGTCTCTCTGCATACCTAACAGTCCCAAGCGCACGTGGAAACTTCCGGTTCAAATCTCCAAAATGCCACAATGCTAAGCAGAGTCTAACCTGACGTAGAGCCTTTATTAGATATTACTAATCTAACTAGTAATCTACAGGGAGGAGATTGATGGTAAAGATTTTATCATATCTATAACATAGTAATCTTGTAAAAAAATCCACTGATTATTCTTTTGGTTAATCTGGTCCCATGGGTCTATTAAAACACTTAACAGTCACTCAAAGCATGATGTTTCTATCCTTATAGATGTGGTCTTCATGGATTCCAAGTACAGAAGAGTTTTTTTTTTTTTTTCCCCCAATAAATCACAGAACACTTGAAGTCTTGCTATGGAAGTGCATGTCCAAAGCTGTCAACTGTGGCAGAATTATGATAATCCTCTTAAAGCTATCTCCCTAAAGTAACCAATCTTCCACATACTCTCTGACATGCAACATTCCATCTAACTAGTCAGCTGCATTAGCTCACAAACACTTGTTTAACATCTGTGGAATACTTCTGAAGTCAAAGTTAACAGGCAGCAATTTGGCAAGATCAATAAAATGTACCTTGTTCACTTCTCCCTCTGACAGTCTGTTAAGAACGCAGAAACAAGGTATTTTGTGACTATGCTCTAAACGATTTATTTTAAAAGAGAGAGAAAGGATAGATGGTTCTTAGTATTCCGTAGGATCTGTCCACCTAAGCAACAGAATTGGTCGCTTTCGCACTAGATGTTAAGTACTGAGAATGCGGGGATGAGGACGCTGTGTCCACCCCTGTATCCCCAGCACCTAGAATACTGCCTGGCATGAGCAGTCTCACAATAAATATTTCCAGAAAAAAAAATGAATGAATGGACAAATGGAAGATACTTCTTTAATAAAAGGGTAGGGTCTCTGTTCTGTAGCAGAAAAGGCGCACAGAGGGTCCCATAAAACCACTGTGAGTTACTGCTATTCCAGCAACAGGTGAACATTCCCTGAGATAATGCCCTGTCCCCTGCAGAAGGACTGCTTCAGAGACAGACCTTCCCATGGTATTGCTGGTTCCAGCAAAAGAGGCACAGATACTCCTAGTCATGACAGTTTGTTTCTATTTGGGGGGGGGGTGAGTGACTGTTAAGTCCTTCACCTTTACCGCTCTTCTCAAAATATCAGGAGAAAGGGTAATTGTGGACATCGATCAACAATTTAAACAGAATCCTTAACAAAGGTCAGAAGTTCCCAAGATTATCAGCCTTCTGACACTATCTGGTTTTTTTTAGCTTGTGCTGGAATTAAAACAACTTTTTATAATAACTTCATATGGGAAATTTAAGGTTAGTTAATCCTCATACAAGTCTTTTTTTCTTTCTCATTATTGACCGCTAGCAAAATCTAAGTTTCTCTCAATACCCCACTCTCACACCCCTGCGTACTATCTCACTACTTCTACCTCATCCCTCTCACCAGTCTTTCCATTCCCCATCCTTTCCTTAGGGCCCTTCTGTAATGCTCGTTCCTCTCTGAAGAAATTCTTCCGCAACTTCAGTCTCTTCAAAATTACTGCTATTTGGATTAATTGCAAATAGCCTTTCTCAGAGGGCACGCTTTCCCTGGAGTCTTTTATAGTAGAGGTTCCTTATTTCTTTCCTTCTGTACATATTTATTGATCAGTCATTGACTGCCAACCTGTTCATTTCCCCATACACCAGAGGGGTGGGGGGTCACATCTTCATTCTCTTAGTTTCTCCCACAGGGAAAATACAGGACAAGTGGACAGAGACTTCTTACCAACAACAGAGGCTAAAAAAAAAAAAAATGGGATCCTGTTTTAATAAATAACTACTAGCCCACAACTTCCTACCCAACTAAACTACCATTTAAGTATGAGGGCAAAATAAAGCATTTTTAAGACAAAAATGAGTGCTTTAAGCACTTACAGAGCCTTGGGAAAAACAAAATTAGGCTGACAAGTCATGTTTACTAATTACCAACTTTAAAAAATTTAAGTCAAGGACGCATTTTAAAAAATTAAGGATAGCAACTAAAATAATAGAACTAGAATATACACTATACAAACTGGTTGAGAAAAAATGGAATGAAGAAAATCCAATTAATCCAACAAAACAATGAAAAGGAGGAGGAAAAGCAAATAAAAAAGGCACAGTAAATTTAAAACACAAAGACAGCACATATAAACCCAATGTATAAGTAATTAAACACACACAAACTAAATTTATCAATTAAAATACAAAAAGACTCTCAGATTTGACTAAAAAGAAAATCTATATATTTGTTTACAAAATCCACATACAAAACAAAAGGCTGAAAGAAAAGGCTTGGAAAATGATTTGCCAATTTATAACTAAATTTAATCTTTGCAAATTAATATGAATATCAGATTTTAAAAGACTTTCAGGAAAATGACTATCTAACTTACATAAATATAAAAACAAAAGACTGGTGAGTTTGATCCCAATTCTACAACTTACCTTCAGTCTACAAAGTCATAGACTTGTAAATTTAAAAATGCACCAGTAGTCTCAATCAGTGAATGCTATGATCCAATATTTAAGAAGATACAAACAGCTGGATCGCAATTCCTATATCCTGGTAATTTATCAGAAGGGGAGAAATGAAAAGAGCCTAACATTCCGACCAGTTGTGGGTATTAGTTCTGAATTTGCGGACCCACTTGGATTAAGCCTTCCCAACCACAGCGTTTTGGCATATAAAACAGATTCTTCCACTAGGGTTTCATAATGAAGCACCTATGGGCATCATACAAAGAAATATTTTTAAACGCCCAAATTCCTCTTCTTTTTAAAAAAAGTAAGCATAATATACTGTTTAAACTATAATTATTTTATATAGAAAGGGAAAGCATTAATTTGTAATTTACTATACTTTATTACTGAGTTATAAACAAAAAACTGAGTTGTTAAAAATGTGATTTTCAAACACAAGATGTATTAGGACCCTTCAGTAGCTATACATTTTAGCGTGAAAAGAGCGCTTCTGTTCCTTTAAGTGAATTAAATTTAAAATATGATTTTAAAAAATAGTTCAATAGCACTAAACGTTACTTTATAAACTGGAGATTTATACTTATAAAAGACTTGAATGCCATTTTTAAACCTAAAAATTACAATACAAAAACCTCTCATTTGCTGAAATTGCCATGATCTGAAGTGTCATTTACTTAATGCTTCACAGATGTATGATGCCAAATTGTTAGTCAGACTGCAAAGTATATTTAGTTAGGAAAAAAAGCTTCCAAAACATGTTTTCCTATATTTTACTGACATTTACATGAGGCACTATGTGAAATGTGTCATTTATTTGCACTTTATGATCTATAAATGAAGCTCTCATTTTCTGTTTTCAAATCAAATACATTGTTATTATGGCCACAGAACAGTTTTTCCGTTTAAAGACACCATTGTGTCTATAATCCCTCAGACCAGGGTCATGTTCTTCTCTTGTCAGATTTTTAACTGGACTTTTCATCACACTTACTCTTTGACCTTTCCCCTGAGAGGCTTAGTCATCATTGAACTGTTGCGGTAAGGATGTTTGCTACACAATTGAGCCCACTATTTATCATGAGCCTTTATGTACTTTTAGTCAGCCTCTGTGCAATGATGGGACGGTACTAATTTTATCACTAGGTTACTAGTGTTACAAGAGCACAGACTGATGAATTTGGCTAACACTGAATGCTTGTCACAGTAAGAGGTTACAGACAAAAATGGAAGAGACTATTGATACGTTTCCTTGTGGTAATATGAGTAGGCATAAATAAATGAAAAGCTTGGTATTTATTAATATTGGGGGCTTTTAAATGTCATGACTGTGCTACTAGAGTCCATTATGGGTCAAGTACAAGCAGCAATACTAGTGTTAGTAGGATGAAGAAACTGGAAAATAAAATGAGAATGTTAAAGAAAATGGAATTTTTTGGACTAAAAGTATGTGAATAATTAACATGGTTCTCTGTGTCTTACTAGCACCCTTTAAAACCTCTTTAGACTATTAATTACAAAACGGTAGAGTGGGGTAAAATCTTTCATAGAGTCCCCTACAATGCAGGGGCTGTTTCTAAGTTATAACTATGCATATGTTAAATTCACCCATTTCTAAGGAATGGACATTGTGTTATACTTTTGTATATCTATAACAGATGATCTCTTAAACATATAATGAAGCAAAATTAAACATTTACTTACAGAAACTTAATTGTCGACTTTCACAGAATTCTGCATATTGGGCTGAATCCATAATTCGAGTTTGTCTTTCTGCTCTCTGACAGATAAAAAGACACACAAACAATGTTTCAGAGCAAGTAGACCATTATCTATGTCTTCCTCTTGGCTAAAATGCAGAATTGAAATTCCATTTTCCTTCCCTGACTTTAAGTAAACAGTTTCGTACTACCATAAATATCATGAAACTTGAAATCATGATAAGTAACAGTAGTTTTGCAACTTGTGTCTTTTGGAAGCGAAGTTTAAAATGCCATTTTCTTCTCCTCTGTTATTGTCACTATATTGACAAAGCTAAAGGATCTTACTTCTTAGATTGTGTACTAAATTTTCTTAATTGTACCATCCTTTTAAAGAAAAACTGTGAGTGGGTAATAACAAATCAAACAGAAAAAACTGCTAATCGTTATTGACCATGTACTGCCTTAAAGCTGGGGATTTTCAATGTTAAAATCAGAGTCAATAAATGGACCCCATATATTTTCCCTCAGTTAGAACATGGAGCCAGAGCTAACAAATCCATATTTTAAATTGCAAAGAAAATAAAGAAAAAGGTAAACACAACACAAAACCTTTCATCTGAGTCCAGGTATGATTCACAGTTTGGTATAGTTTCATTCGTGGGTTTTTGATTCAGTATAGCAGATGTTTGCTGCTTCATTGTCCCACAAGAGGTAGGATAATTATAATTCACCCATAGTTCAGTGGGAAAGAATATGACCGCTTCCGCTTCCTTGGCAAGGGAAGCATTTTGAAATGAGACAGGATGGTACTTCTTGGAATCAGATTCTGGCCAGTAAAGGAAAAAATTCCCTGAGATGTTAATTTTTTTTCTGCTTTGAAGGACTTCTGGTAAGTTTTCTTTATCACAGTTGGAGTACATAAGTACCACTAACGTCTGGATGTTTTTATATTTTTTTAAACTGAAATTATTCTTTCTTCATCTTGTTTGATTTGGGTAGTAGTCAACTTAATTCTGATGATATATCTGTTGATGGGATGAATAATGGTACACTAACTGCTGCTCAATACAGGAAGGACAGATGGGGTGGTGGGAGTTATACTAACTCCTGTGGTTCCTTCTAAGACCACTGACTATTTTTACCCTTGCTTCTTTTCTTCTACTCCATCCCTCCCTTCTTTCCTTCCTAATCTCCCCCTCACCCCATACATACAAACATGCATATGTGCAGACATAAACCCAGACTTCTTCATTCACCCTCTAGGTTCAAGTATCCTTTTTGAACATGTAGTACATATGTACATTACATAACAGACACACATACACACACACACATACATACGTGTGCATAAGGATCCTCTTGTGCATATATCTGAAACATTAGGTTTCCTTAAGGGTATATTATTGGGTGAATATTTATATACTTAGAAGTATTGGGCGCCTGGGTGGCTCAGTTGGTTAAGCGACTGCCTTTGGCTCAGGTCATGATCCTGGAGTCCAGGGATCGAGTCCCGCGTCGGGCTCCCTGCTCAGCAGGGAGTCTGCTTCTCCCTCTGACACTCTTCCCTCTCGTGCTATCTCATTCTCTCTCTCAAATAAATAAATAAAATCTTTAAAAAAAAAAGCATGGTTTTTTAAAAAGATTTATTTATTTATTTTAGGGGGGAGGGGCAGAGGGAGAGGGAGAGAGAATCCCAAGCAGACTCCCCGCTGATCGTGGAGCCTGATGTGGGGCTCAATCTCAGAACCCTGAGATCATGATCTGAGCCGAAACCAAGAGTCAGATGCTTAACTGACTGCACCACCCAGGCGCCCCTACTTAGAAGTATTTTTTGATACGTGAATGCATTATTTAGTCTTATCCTTCTTTTTAGTGTATCTGATACATGACTCAGTAAGTATATGCTAATGGACAGTAGGAAGTAAGGGAGAATTCTGAACATAACAAATCAGTTACTGATGTGTTTATTAAAAAAAAGTTCTAAGGCTAACAATGTATCATTAATGTCTGTCTTTGACTATATCAGGAATCTCTCAGATTTATTTTCTAGCTCCTAGAGAATTTCTGACACACGAAACATGAACAATGAAACCTCCGTGGATTGAACAAATGCTACCATTTTAGTCTACAATCATGGCAAATGACCATCATCACCATGATGTGGCTAGTCCTTGATTATCCATGCATTCCTGTAAGTCTTCTCTGCTGCTCTCCAGCCAGGCAGCCTCACCCCACCCAACACACGTGAAACAGAAAGGACTTCGATAAATATGGAAAACGAAAATTCCTAATGGGATTCTTAACACTAATTTTTCTTCCACCATGTTGGACAATCGAGATTTGGTTTCTGTATACGTGCTTACATAGTCGATGTATCTGAATAAGTATTTCTGGAAATGAAAGTTAGGAAAACCTATCCTAGGAGATTCAGGCTGCCAGGGTTGCCAGTTTTAATCAAGCAAGGCGTTTAGCTAGATGGGAAATCCTGAACCACATTTAAAAGACACGGAAGGACTTTAAATTATTATAGCTAGCTTCATTCCTTTCAGACACCTAATTCAATGTCTATCATCTTTTCTTCATCAAGCATCGTAGTTTGATTTCAATTCCTCTAGCATAGAAGCAGTGGAGTCTCAGGAAGCTGGCCCTAGGGCCCGTGCAGGAAGCCACTGACCAAGTGTCCATACAGCAAATGCTCCGGAAAGAGCAGATGACGTAACAGCAAAGATGCACAAGCATCTGTAAAACCACGGCATGTTGGGGCACCCAGGTGGCTCCATCAGTTGAGCGTCTGGCTCTCAGGGTTGTGAGATCGAGTCCCGCGTCGGGCTCTGTGCTGAGTGTGGAGCCTACTTAAGATTCTCTCTCTCTCTCCCTCTGCCCCTCCCACTGCGTGTGCATGTGCATGCTCACTCTAAAAAAATAAAAAAATAAAAATAAAAACCACAGCCTATCAGAACTAGAGGGACACTTAAAGTTCATCTTGTTCAAACCCCTTTATTTTAAAGATAAGGAAACTGAGGTTCAGAGAGAAGTGATTTGCCAAAGGTGATCAAGTTAGCACTGAAGGCCAGGACTCTCAATTCCCAAGCCAGCCTATTTTCATTATGAGAAGCTGTCTTCAACCTACAGTAATGTTTCATATTTTTCTTTGGAATCCTCTAAAGTCTCTACATTCCCTTACTAAACTGTATCACGTGGCCACCATAATTAACGTGCTCAAAGTGTTCATGACCAAACAAAATTAAGTAAGGCCCTGGGTCAGCAAAGAAGGCACAACCTGGGGATAATTAAGTGCAGAGTGTTCCAACTGTAATGTACCTGACAGTGCACAGGTGTGCTGCAAACACATCACAGGTGTGCAAACATACTGTTCCCCCCCCAACCCCCACCACTCCCACCCTACCCGACCTTTTCCATGCTGCACAAGGTTGGGGCAGCAGAATCCCAGGGCTGGTATCTTGCTATAAGTTGCCTTGTCCATTTACCTCAGTGTGGCATAAAAATACCATTTTCTATGTGTGCCATGATATGAAAGAGGTTGGGAAGCAGTTGTACTAATACCAACGTCCTTAATATTACATGACACAGCACATGCGTGCTATTCACAGCATGGTCAAGTGCGCTCAAAATGAAATCAGAGATGCTGAGGATGATACAGATATGCTCACCATGCTAATTTCTGTTTACTTCTCTTTTTTCCCCATGAATTATTTCAAATAACCAAAGGAAAGGGACAAATGTGGCCTTGTGAAAGGATCCAAATCACTCAGCATCTGATTATATTATCTCCAGTCTGTACACTATCACCTTAAAATGGGAAAGGCAGGAAATATCTAACCGTTACAGGCTATGTGTTCTTTAAAGACAGTAACTATGTTTTCCTTCTCTCATCTCAGCATTGGCCAATGCTTAGCTTGGTTTACCCGGGTCCCAGTAAACGTTGCTGGCTAGCTGAATGGGCAGAGGGCAAAAGAAATGTGTATAAATCCTTGTTGTCTTATCTAAAATCAGGAACTGTAATATTTGTAATCAAGTTGTCCAAATTCCAGAGACAGTAGGCAGCTTTTTAAAGATAAATTCCCATTAAAAAGAAGTCAAGACATTGGCCAACTATCAAATAAGCTTGGTTCCTATTTTCTGTGTTGTCCTGATTCCACTTTCCCTTCTGCCTCGATTCAGACCACCCATTCCAATCCACACTGAAGTGCGCACTGACAGTCCTTTTCTATTCCCAGTACTGTAGGAAATCTCTGGACAAGATGCAAGGGGGAAAATCATAAGCCTCGCAGAGCAGCATGGTCAGAGTGACAATGCTTATCTATTCTTTTCAGAGAGCAACACAATAACCTTTAACATAAATAGTTTTAACAGCTCCATTTTACAGTTGAGGACACTGAGATTTAAAAGAAGTAAAAAAATTTTTTAAAAAACATATAGTTAATAAAGCGGCCAAGCTAATAAGTAAAACTTGGATCCTAAATGATCTACTCTGAGGTATATCACTGATTAATCATGGCAGGTTAAATCATAGCTTTTATTCATACTGGATATTCTCAAATTACACAATGTTCTCCTGATCTCAGACTGCCACATGAATGAAAGGTCATCTCTGGATTAGTCATGCTCTTGTATCTGCAAGTCCAATTTGTTTTCTGCTTAATCTGTCGATTCTGCCCACTCTTTGGTTTCTCTAGGTATTAACAATGCTCTTGAAAACTCATAAAAATATGGTCCATACTCAGAGGCTTTTTAAAAAATTAAACTGTACTAGTATTATGATATAGCAAAGTATTACCATATAGGGGCATACATGGAAAATCACTTTTGGAAGAATTATTCCTAAGATTTTCCAAGCACCTAACAATATTTCAAAATTTCACTGGAATAGCTTGTTAAAAAGGTTAGAGAGAATAGTTATGCTAATAGTCCTTCATCTCACTACCAAGAAGTTACAGCTTTCTCTGGTTATTGTAAAACAAACTCAGGAGGCAGAATTCCATGCCAGATGAACTCATTTTTTTGGGTCCTACCTAAATGAAAACAGGGAAGGAAATGTCCCGACAGATGCAGTACC